GAACGGATTCGCGGTTAGGATAGACATATACCTAATTGCCTTGCTAGGTTGATTTACAGGAATTATAAATGCGTTCTTGTTGATTCTAATTCCATAGACATATATGCATTGAGTTAACTTGAATAGGCGAGTAAGAACTCGACAGATTCTTATGAGCAGTATTAACCCTGTCAACCAATAAACTAGATAAATTAGTTAGTCAATTCAATTGAAGAATACAATAGGAATGTTAGATAGCCCATAACCCTAGATCGTTTTCATTACATTGATATCATAAAAATCTGCTCTTTCTCTATTCAAAGTTCATTATTTGTTTTTATTTATTTTAATTAGTTCAGAATCAAATACTTCTAGGTTTAATTCTTGTATAGATAATTAGGATAGTCTAATTTAGTTAATAGTTGACCATAAGTCCTCGTGGGTTCGACATCCGACTTTTAGTCACTTTATTACTTGACGACCGCGTATACTTCCGTGTGCGTTTGGACGCAACAAGTTTTTGGCGCCATTGCCGGGGACTTAGAAATTAACTATTTTTCTAGATTAGACTTTAAATTTTATCCTTTTTTTGTATATACTTTTATTTTTACAAATATTTGATATTTTTCTCTTAGTATGTTCCTAGTTCTCTCAGCATGACATCTGGGGATGAAATATACGGAGGTAAGGCTATTGATGAAGACTCTTGGTTGACAAAAGACTTTTATGGCTATATTTTTGGTCTTGTCATGGCCTGACTTCTTGGAGGTCTGAATTTGAATATGGGAGTAAGGGTTGGTATTGGGAAGAATATTCACGATTAAGGGAATATGAGGAACGACGTTGTCTTCTAACAACGTTGGTGAATGATTGGTCTAAGGAGAGAGATGAACTTGCACATAAAATTGATAATTTTAGCTTTGCTGTGCACAACTTAGATGCAGATTTGAGCACAAAGGTTGATGCGTATAACGCCCAACAATTTAATAATGAGTTGTGTGAAGCTGAAAAAAATCTTTTAGACCAAATTGAGGAGCTAAAACGAGAATAACAATCACTAGACCATATTTTTCTTGAGGATGCCAATATTGAGAAGAGTGCTCTAGAGTCATGTGAGGGAGTAGATAACATTACTTTGGGAGACTTGAGTGTGTGTAAATATGGGTATGCAAATAGTAGTAAAATTCAAGAGTTAGGGCGCAATAAACCTCATTACAATCATTTTTCTACATTGTGTTTAGATAGTGAGATACTAATCACGCCATCTGAGCCTATAGAGGAGTCAAAGGGTGAGGATGAGAGTGCCTATATTCTTGAATTTGTTGTGCCAGAAAGCAAAAATTATATTCCCCATCTAAAGGCCAAGAAGTGCAGGGTGAAAAAATTATTACTTGGCCTTGTTATCATTGTATCCCCACCACTAGCGCATAGCCGCAGACTGGATGCCATGTTAGGGGTACAATTTATAAGTTCAAGGTGGAGGAAAAAGTGGTTCAAGTCGTGCCGCGACTTTAAATTAGGCGCTTGTTAGGAGGCAACCCTTACTGCTTTTTTTATTTTTATTTATTTTTTTTTTTTTATTTTTCTATCATTGTAGCGTTTTTTTTGTAGGATTATGAGCATAGAAGAAAAGCCAGTGGAAGTGTGCAAAAGTGAGCTATGTGGTTGAAATAAGTGTGGGGTGACCGCACAAAGGATCGTACCTGGGAGAAGTCTGAGTATCCCGTGAGCTGCTAATGCTTCGGCATTTGGCCTACCAGGGAGTCTCTTTTACCCTCTTGTTATTTTTAGTGTGCATTGAGGACATTGCACAATTTTAAGTGTGGGGTGAGGAGATTGTCTGGGTGATTTTCTGTGCTATGTTAGCTTAGTTATAGTACTCGTTCTTAGTGTAGTAATTATTTTTTAAAAAAACAAAAAAAAATCAAAAAATTTGGACTTTTCCCGACGATGGATTTTGTGGACAGCTTTCTTGAGGGATTAAAGTCTAAATAAAAATTCAAAAATATGTCTTTTAGTTTCCTTTAGGTAGTAATAATCCCCTGTGGTTTTTCTATGTGCCTCGGTTCTTTTCCTTGTGATGTAGTTTGAACCGGGTAGTAGTTTTTCCTTTTATATTTTTAATTTTTTTTAGAGGAGAATAGAATTTAGGGAATACAAGGGGGAAGAATGATGAACCTAGGCGCCCTTGACTTGTTTGATAGTAGCATATTTAGGCTTTGGCATATGTAGTATCTTCCCTATGATTTGAAATTATTGATGATGCCTTGCTTAGTTGGATATCATGTCTTGTGATGCCTATGTCTCGTTTTCTTGACTTATGTTCACTTTGTGTTTCATGCTTAATATCTCGTGGCTCCGTGAATACTTGCATTTGTTTGAGAGTCGGAATGAGACCGTCCTTAGTGAGTCATGTGCCATGTGTGGTGAGGTTTTTTGTGTAGTCCATGTATTGTACTTGTGTCTAGAACTTGCCCGGTATGTGAGTTGAAGCGAAATTTTAGGTGATGCTCGGTTTGAAAAATGATTTTAGGCTTTCTTTGACCTTTTTGAGCTTAATTGCTTATCACAAATAAAATTTATCCCTAGTTAACCATTTTGAGCCTATAGACGTTTATTTGGCACCCACATTACAAGCCTATACCCCTTTTTATTCTTAATTGATATTGTTTTGATCCCTTTTCCTCTTAAAGCACTTTTAATTGTGAGCTGAACGCTAAAAGAAGTAAGAAGGAACTAAGTGTGGGGTGGCTTTTGAGTGGAACCAATAAAAGGAAGAAAGGTGCACTTGTTTTGTAAAATAATACACCATTAGCAGAAATTTAGAAAAAAAAGAATAATCTGAAGAAAAAAAAAATAGAGATGAATAAATTGTTGTCTTGTTCTTGCTAGTGGGTATGAATTAATGTAGTGCTTAAAGAAGAAGGGAGCATTTTTGGGGTGATATTTTTTGTGAAAGTGAAGTGGATTGAAGAATTTGCGCTTAAAGTGATTATGTGATGTGTTAAAGTGCTTAGGAGGGTGAACCACTATTCTTAAATATATCCTACCCGTCCCTTAGCCCACATTACAACCATGAAAAGACCTAATTGATTTTAGATCGAGCGAGCATACATTAGTAGAGATTTACATTAAGGGCATGCCTATGGTACCAATTACATGCATGTAACTTCTTTTGTGAGGGTGAGCAATATTTTCTTTTGATATATATGAGTCCTTACAATATATTTGATCATGAGATTCGAAAGTGTGGATTGATTTTATTTTCTTTGCTTTGGTTGTGAGGGCACATGGTTTCATGAAGGATAGGTAACATTATTAGACTTCTCTAGGATGTTGGGTGTTCAAGCCATGAGTGCATTGTGACATTGAGTCGATTTTTGAGGCTAGGATTGTTGTGAGCATGTTGTCTTTGTTGTAAATAATTTTTAAGAAAAGCATACGTAAAGGGAAGTGTATGATGATTGCATATGCTTTTAATTATTGCTATCAACCATGGTCATTGGTGTAGTGTGCTCCAAATGTGTGCTTCGAATATGTTAATTGCTCATAGATAGAGTAAATTTTTGGTTGACTCGAGGATGAGCAATGTTTAAGTGTGGGGTAGTGATGTTTGGCAATAATTTCATATTTTTAGTGCATTACTTACTTTACATTTTGATGTTTTAATGCTAAATTGTATTATATTTATGCACTTTAATTGAGTTTGAGCTTTAATCGCTAGTGTCTTGCATTATGTGTGTTTTATGCCTTGTAGGAGTGATTTCGAGCTATGTAGATGTTATGGAATGAATTCAAGTGATTTGGAGCTTTGAAGTCTGAGTAAAAGCCCAAGGATATGAGCCGGGATCGCGTTTGGGGGTCAACGTATGATAGTTAGAGCAAATAAAGACTTCAGTAGGCAGATTGCGCACTGTCTAGTAAAATAGATATAACGTTTTGCTCAGAACTCCATTTTGGCTCCACAATATATGATTGGAAAGCTAACTCAAAGGGATACAACTTTCATGTTTTACGTTTTTCCAAATTCGGAACGGAACGCGCGAACTCGCGCGAGTCACCCGGGAAAAGTTTCCTTTTTTCACATTGAAGAAGGTACAATTGTTTGGGCCCAACCCTACTTGGTATATATACATGAGAGAACGTTTTTTAGAGTAATTTTTGACCAAGGAGGACGTTTTTGAGAGGAAAACACAAGCACAGAGCCGCCGTGGAGGCCGAGTTTTATCTTTTCTTCCACCAACTTAGTCTTTTTATGTATCTTTGTATGATTTGTTGTTTTGCTACCATGTCTATGTGGAGCTAAATTTCACGTTCTAGGATTGTGGTTCTTTCATGACTATTGTTATTGACATATTGATTTTGATTTTTTAGGTTATCATATTGGTTTATTTATTCAATCTTGCACTTAATAATTTGATTGCTTGATTACCAATTGAATACTATCTACGAGTATAGATTTGAACTCGAAAGTGGGAATTCTAGATTGCATATAGGATTGAGTAGAGCAAGTTCTTGAACCTGGACCTCGAGAAAGGGATTCGCGGTTAGAATAGATATATACCTAATTGCCTTGCTAGGTTGATTTATAGGAATTATAAATGCGTTCTTGTTGATTCTAATTCCATAGACATACATGGATTGAGTTAACTTGAATAGGCGAGTAAGAACTCGACAGATTCTAATAGTTAATAGTTAATCACAAGTCCTCGTGACTTCAACATCCGACTTTTAGTCACTTTATTACTTGACGACCGCGTATACTTGCGTGTGCGTTTTGCCGTAACAAATTTTTGAAAAAAAAAAAAGAACTTGGGGAAGTTTTAAATGTTGCTCCTGGTAACTTCTGCTCATAAAGACTTCTCTTATTAGCGATCTAGGAAAAATGTATAGGACGTTATTGGGGATGAGGTAAATGAGCCTTTCAAATTTAATTTTTTTCGCTTTCGAGGAAAATTATTTTTCTTCGAGAATTAGTTTCAAAAGAAACTATTTTTCCCGTAATTATTTTCAATGATTCGACGTAATAAAAGGCTGGACAATATTTATAAACACAATTCCATCTTTATTTTGCTTATTACAAGATGATTCTTTACCACTAAGACCCACCACCGTTCAATAATATTAGTACAAAGCTACTGAATGTATGATTGGCCGGTGATATCAATGTCACGGTCGCCGGAAGACGGCGGAGGTTTATGTTTGGGCTGAAGAGTGGCTTCCTCCGGCCCATCAGCACTTTGTGTCTCACTAGCTGGTGGTTTATTATCCACTTTCCTCGCCGGACCACCACCTTCATCATCCTTCCCATACATCCCACCGCCGTACGCTTCCTTAGTCAGCGGCTGCAACGGCGTAATATATGGTGGTTGGTGTTCCCGCCGGCTATCCTCCTGATCCTTATTATCTCTCTCGTGATCTTGCTCTTCTTTCTCCATATATTTAGTTTTCTCGTTAGACATTCTTTTTGTTGGACTAACAGTACTTGAGCTGAGTGGAGTGGCCATTGAAATGATGATTTACCTAAGATTTATAGCCAATTGCATTGCAATCTAATTGTGAGAGTTGAAACTTGAAAGAAAATAAGAAACAAATGTTGTACACGTAGTTATCAGTTTAATTTGCATGGTTGAGGTTATCTATTTGACACGCATGTTAACCAGAAACGTGGTGGGCGATTTGACTGTCCACGTTAACTTTGTGTCATCATATGACAGGCCAATCGCTTTATTCCCGGTCGTTAATAATTTATAGTACATAAATATGCAGTCGAACTTACTATTTTATTTTTAATCGATATATATTAATGGAGTATATATTTACTATCCATAATTATACATGCATAAATTATTATATGTAAACGCTGCTTTTAATTTAGGCGATTGAATTGATGGTTAGGTTAATTCTTCCCAACAACTAAGGGGACCTTAATCTTAACATCAATGTGTGCAAGAAATCTCAGCACCAATTAATTTGTTGTGTCAATGGTGCAAAAGAAGTGTAACTAATAGGCCCAAAGACGTGTAGCAGGCCTCGCGTGGTAGAAATGGCGTGGGATGGTCACTTTTTAATATGGTACTTAGTTTTTATTCAGTATTTTTAATATTGAGCAAAAAGCTACTACTCTATTAAAATTAATACGAAAAGATGTTTTTATCCTTTCTTCATGAGTGCTGTGTATATATTAAGGACATGGTGTCCTTAACATTTACACTGCGCACATGAAGTTAAGGACGTCACGTCCTTAACATTTACACTGCACATATGAAGTTAAAAGACACGATGTCCTAAAGTTTAACAACGGAAGGTGCAAATACAGGACACGTTGTCCTTAATATTTAGACGGTATTCATGAAGTTAAGGATACCATGTCCTTAATATTTACACAACACTCATAAAGTTAAGGACACTATGTCCTTAACATTTACACTGCACAGATGAAGTTAAGGACACCACGTCCTTCACATTTACACTGCACATATGAAGTTAAGGGCATGGGGTCCTAAAGTTTAACAACAGACGGTGCAAATACAAGTTAAGGACATTATGTCCTTAACATTTACACTGCACACATGAAGCTAAGGACGCCATGTCTTTAACGTTTACACTGCACATATGAAGTTAAGGACGTGATGTCCAAAAGTTTAACAACGGAAGGTGCAAATACAGGACGCGTTGTCCTTAATATTTACACAACATTCATGAAGTTGAAGACACCATGTCCTTAATATTTACACAGCACCCATGTCTAGCACATGGGTATTTTCGTCCGGGCGAGTAAAAATTTATTAAGCACTGGCTAAAGAGTAAATACATTTTAAACAGTGGCTAGAGAGCAAAGACATCTCAACTAGTGTCTAATTGTGCACTTCCCCCCCCCCCCCCTCCGGCGTGTGTTATTTTGACAGAAGATTGATCTTGTATTGGTAGGGGTAGGGTTGACAAACAGGCGGGACGGGTCAGATATGGGTGGGTTGAAAACGGGCAATATAAAAATGAATAATTTATCTGACTCCAAATATATTTAATACGGATAGAAAGTATGTTAACCAACAGATAATATGTATATCTATATTATCATAGCTTCTTGAATATAATCACTTTTGGGAGAATTCCTAGCCTCCCAAACTTAAAGAACCCCCAGTTTGAGTTTTTACAAATATAAAAGTTAAACCCAATAGTTATTCACTGGTTATCCATTTTTAAGTAGATGATATGGGTCTTATCTATATTTGACCCATTCAAAAGTTCATTATCCAACTCAATTTTTAGTGGATAATATGGGTGGATAATAATTATTTTTATCAATTTTACCACCACTAGGTAGGGGTAACGTCAACATATATTTTATCCTTTCCAAATCATTTGCGGGATCGCACTGAATATGTTGTTATTGTTATACTAGTCAATTTACTAGCGCTTCGCACGATCTATAAAAAATATAAATGAAAATTATAATAATTAAAAAAGTAATCTTGGCTGTTCAATTTTCTCTTTTCTATTTTTCAGTCGTAACATTATCAACTGTAATGTAATTGCATTTCCAAGGTTGATTACTTCTTTCTAAAATCTTTCAGACTTGCTTTCTCTATTTATCTTCTAGACTTGCTTTCTCTAATTTTATACACATTAAAGCATACACTTTATTCGTTTGCAAAAACTTTATCGGGCTAGTTTGAAAGTTTAAATTAAAGGACTAAATTTCTTTTATCGATGAAAATAAAATTGAATAATTAATTGAGATAATATACTTTAATAAATGTTAACCACTGGCATTGATAGGGTGCTATTTGCCATATATGATGATATCTACATCATGCCACAAAATGATACCCAAAAAAAGGCAGGTTCACTAAGCTTCCGCTATGTGCGGAATTCAGAGAAGGGCCGGACCACAAGGGTCTATCGTACACAGCCTTATTAAAAAATTTAATTTTGAAAACAAAAGATCTATGAAGGAAATATTGTTTATACCGAAACTTATAAAATTCAACCCAACAAATAATTGTTCTATATGTTGATAAAAATTCAACACAAGGTTTAGTATTCTATTTCTATAATATCTTTGCAATATCCTTCGTTTTCATTTTTTTTTCTCTACTGTTGCATTTGAAGTATTTTGAATTTTCAAATAACATAATAAAGGAAAAAGAGCAAAAATGTAATCTTTAAAACACTTAACGGATATTGAGAAAATATCATTTTTGCGATATTTAATTAATGTTCACCTCAACATTTAATTTTTGTTGTTGTATTTCTAAGTATTTTTGTGATATTGTACTAATTCAAAGAACATAAAATATATGTTCCGTACCAAACAATCAAGGAAAAAAATACACATAAATAAATTATTTCTCAAAAATGAAAAACAAAGGAGAAGAAGCGAGAGAGTAGGAGGAAGGTAAGTCATTAATTTCCACTCCGCTCTATAGAATCTATGTGATGATATATTTTCATAATTTGCAGGAGAAATAATAAAATGTACAATACATTCTCAGTTATAAATAAAAGTATCTCCCACTTGACACACCGGGAGGACTCTATTTACCCAATCACATATACCTTCCCCATTTAAATTGTAGATTGAAAATAGAAATTTAACTACGAAAAGCATCTTTGTAATCAAAATGTCATACACATATGTAAGTTGTAACAAAAAATCTCATACATATACATGACACAGAGATAGTGAGCGCAACTTTTGTGAGAAGAATGCGAGAGAGAATAATAGATGTCTATAGATTTTCTATTGCTTTCTCGGCACCGCAGTCTTTGAAATAGTCCTTGCAATAATATCCTTAAAATCCTCAGATCAAACATATAGATAAGTTCCAACCATGTACCACAAAAAAATAGTTTATTTAACACAAAATGTTAAAAAGTTTTTTTTTTAAGAAGGCACAACCCATTCCCTAAGATATGTCCAAGTATTGCTCTCAACCGCATCGCGTGCGCCGGGGAGGGAGGGGGGGCTCGAGACCTTCGCGGGTTTGCCTGCAACCACACCGCCCCACAACGTTTGTCATCCCTAATGACATAGAAGGATGCCACATCACGTTCTCAATGTCAAGCTTTATTAATATATATATATATATATATATATATATATATATATATATATATATATATATATATATATATATATATATATATATATATAAATTTATTTTGGATTAAAATTTTTATCGGATGTCCCCGAAGGGACATTTTGGATTAGAATTGTCCTGCCCAAATTTTTAGTTTAATCAGAATGTTGAAGCATCACGGCTGGATGCCCGTTCGACTATGTTAGGCGGGGTTGCTATGGATATTTGGGCAATGGGTAACATTGTTCGCCCGGGCCAGCCCACACTTGCCAAACAATAGAACGTGGTCAGAAATTCATACGAGTACGACTTCAACGCCCATTATATTCATGCATACATATGAATGTTACATTATTTTATTTAATAGAAAAGTTGAAAAAATCCGCACAAACTATTTATTTCTTTTCTATTGCAATTCGTAGATTATTATATATGCGACTGCAATTTGCGTAAATATTTTTCGACTAAGAAGTAGAAATTATCTTTTTGTACAGTTGGTGTATTAATAGATAACAACAGTAATAATTATGCCTCAATCCCAAATAAGTTGGCGTGATGATATGAATTTTTATTTTTTTCAATCAGCTCAATTCAAATCTATTATGAGGATTCATCATGAAGTGGCAAATTTAACGTTGGTTGTCAGCCTATCGCAACCCTCTGTTCGACCCAGAATTTAGACCTACGTTTAAATAATTAGATTTTCTTAATATCAACTAGATTATTCAACTAGTGCCGTGGCAGAATGTCACAAAATCTGTGTTAACAGTGGCACCAATATGAAGTGAATATCATTAAATAGCAATAAATGTTTTGTAATGGTATTTATGTAAATAAATGTAACAGAAATTGCCGAAAAAGAGGATGAAGTTGTGTAATATTTCCTCTGACAATGATAAATGATTGACGAGACTTTGAATATTCGGGTTCTCCTTGGATCGTGGGAGAAAATCTAGACAGGGATTTCAAGAAAAAAGTGTCTTTTATATGTATGTAATAAAGCAAGAATCTCAAGAGAATGTCAAAGTATTGTTCTTTTACAAATAAATGCCCAATCCTTCCTATAACTATGTCTCTTTCTATTTATATGGGGATATGTGCCATAAAATCCTAATTGTACAGATTCTGGGAATATTCGCTGGAATATTCTCTTTAAAGTCAGATCAACAAAACTAGCCATTACTGCTCCGTTTAGTAAGGGTACTCGTCTCGACCTCGATTTATGTTCACTCCTTTCGACCTAGTCCCTATCTTTCGCCAGATCACTTCGGCCTCGAACATGTCTTTTATTGAATACTGATAACATGTGGCAGCCTTCGAAGATTCTCCTAGTGCTAACATGGCCTAAATAAACTAGGATAATTTTTGGCAAATACAGTTAGTCCTCCGAGTGCTGAGGTCGTCTTCGTGGGTGAGTTCAATGAGCGGATAATATCGTTTAAGGGCGTCTTCGAGATTGAGGCCGTTGAGCAGATAACATCATCC